TAGCGCGGGTGTTTGTGAATTAGACGTTATTTGTATAATTTTTACCCAAATGACTGCACAAGGCTTCATTTAAATATGTGTTTTCTCTGCTTGTATTTGTGAATACGTTGTGTATACGTTGTCTTTCTGATTCGTTTGCAAGGGTTTAGCAGTGGCCAAAGGACCACAATCTTTTTGTCTAACAGATTTGACACAAACTCTTAAAAAACTGAACGTGGCGTTTGATACTGCCGAGGTCGGCGAAATACTGAAGATGGTCGAACTGCAGACGAGTCAAATAATTCATATTGAGAGTAAAAACAAAAACAACGTATTGCACCAAAACAGAACAGTTTGTCTCCGTCATCTACAACATGTCACATTTAAATAAATGCAAAACTGAGGTCAAGCACTCGTGTACAAGTCAGTCTTATCTATCAAAGAACTGTGATAATGATACTATTAGTGCTGTCAATCCATTCAAAAAAAGAACTTTGATTAATCACATTAGAGATTGTGAGTAATCATGATTAATCACAATTGTAAAATACTTCTATTAACTTTTTAAAAATGTTTTAAATACTTGAAATGTGTCGTGCAAAAGAATCTGCTAGTGGGCACACCCCCGAATCATGAAACACAAAGACATAGGCACAAAAACATGGCAAAACACAATGCCAACAGGACACCAACAGGACCATCATCAGAGGACTGTAATTTATAGGGAAATCATAATGAGTAGTATAATCCTAAATGTAACAGTTTGGTATCCTAAGAGATAAGAAAAGAGCTGATTGTGTGAATATTTGCTATCTAAAGATGCTTGAAATGTCCATTGAGAGGATGTAAAGGAAAAATTGGGCTGAGAGGGCCCCTGAGAAGCTCTGTTAAATAAGCTTTATATTATACATTTATATTAACAAATGTATTTGCTGCTGAAATTGATGTTTCCTAAAACACTAAAAGACAAGCCAAGTGTCGGGAGAAGTTTAGCAGAGAATGTAAAGATAGTGATGTGTTCAATGGTTCACCATTTAGGGGACAGGCTGTTCTACTAGTCTCATGAGTTTTGGCTAATATTATTTAAATTTTAAATTTAAATTGAACTGTGATACTGACGAGCAAACATCCTGTGCCTCCTGAGCTTACATAACATCTCTCAAATCATAAACTGACTAACTAATAAGTTACTTATCCAATAAACATAATACTTTTGAAGATGCTCCAACAAAGTCCATAAAAGACAAGAACAATGCTGGATAACTAAAATCTATGAAAACTTGAACAATACAATTTAAATCCGCCCTCTGTACAAAATCATTGGCTAACAGTTGAACATATATGTTGGATCATAATGTTCATTCTACATTCTTTCACACTTTTCATTGTCAAGGTTTTCTGAAAGTGCAATATGCAGACTTAAATATTGATGAATGAGATGAGGCCTTATATCTGAGCTGTAAACATTTGATTTGGTGTTGGACCTGCACTCCTGCTTGACATTTAGGTCAGCCTCATTCTGTCCTTCTAGAAATGAAATCATGCCATTAAATTCAATTCTGGAATAATGACACATTTGCTGCTTCAGTAGTTTTGCCATAAGAAAGTATAAAACTGTGTTCTACACATCTGCTGAAACTGGTGTTAAACAACGCTCTCTCTCAATGTTATCTTTTTTTTTTAGGAAGTCAAAGGTATTGTTTTATATTAAAGAAGACACAGGGTTGAACACTTTTGCCAAGATAATTTGAATTCCCAGCAAGACATTGGCTCTTTGCCTTCCTCCAGTTTCATTTCACAATATTTATTTTCTACACAAGCCAGATGTCAGTTTGCATACTATTCCTGATCTGAGAAGCATTCTTGTGGATGCCAGAGGATTGTGTTACCCAGTGTATATGTAGGTAGGTTCCAAACATGCCTGGGGGGCAGAGGGCACATCACTGACTTCGGGCAGGGGGTTATGGAGTGTGTTCTGCGGCTGACAACATGGGCAACAGAGGAGACAGGAAAGGGGTCATGTTGACATTGTTTAATTGGTACGTCCCCCGTCTTCACAAAGCAAGCATTCATCTCGTGTTTTCTCCTGAATGTTCCTAATGCTTCATAAAGCAGTTGGAGAAATTTGTGTTTGTTAAACCACTTTAAGCAAAGGTATTTGCCTTCTTTCCTTTCAGCTCTTGGGTTCTTTGTTAGCATCAACACAGTGGTTTTAGATAATGTAAATGAATAGACTCAGCAGACAGGGGATGGAATGACAGTCACCAAAGACATTATAAATCATTTCTTTCTTTTATACATATCACATAATAATCACACATCATATAACTTCTCTCATACTCTTACATTTTGGGAAAGCTACTTAACACAGCATTTTGAGGAGAAAAGTTTAGTCCATTTTGTGAGTGCACATGTAGGTCACATCTTAGAAATGTAGAATTCCATCGAGAAAAAAAAAAATCAGACTCAGTGTTTATCAGATGACATATTCCTTTCGTTGACCGCAGTGCATTGTTGGTCTAGCAGCCATATTTAAGACAATTCTTTATTGATCCCAAGTGGGGAAATTCAAGGTTTGCACACAAAGGTGATCAGAAGTCACATCTGAAAATGTTCTTTTATTTTGCTGAGTGAGAAGCTGCAGAAATGAGTCCCAAGATGGGAAAGGTAGTAAACTTGACAACGAGGCGAGGTTCTTTAATTTACCAACCTGGGAAAGGGCTTTGGACAACAAGTGGATGAGAGATGACAAAGAAGCTGTAGTAATAATGTAAATACATTGCTGCTCCAAACACAGTTATTCATAAACACCACTTTAGGATGAGCTGTATGGGCCCACCTGAAGGAGAGTAGAACAGTCTGTTCTTTTCACCTGCTGATTACCCGTTGGCCATGTTACAACTTGCACAGTGTTAGGAGTTGATGGAGGACCTTTGAGAAGTGCTGAAGGGAACATTCCAAGTCCTCTTTGAAAGACTAAACAGAGAAAAAAGATTCTCCGTTTATATAGACTAAACAGCCTGATGTCTGTTGGTACCTCTCAAAACCAAGTGAGGATTTTAAATAGAAAGAACAAGGATTGAACCCCCTTGGATGAGTGTTGCTCAGTTAATCTGAATTTCTGTTCTTTTTTGATACTTTTTATTCAAAATGGTCAGGTACTACACTTTCCTTAGGTTTGGACCTTTTGTAGTTAAATGTGGCTCTGGTGAAAGGGATTGAGATTGTATATTTTGGATGAAGAGAAAGAAAATGTATTATCTGTAATCAAGTAGACCGCAGTTTGAACAAGGTAGTCAAGTTAGACAGTAAATGGTCAAGTGGATTTTAGATTCAACATGTCCACTACAAACTACGTGTTATGAAAGTGGTGTCCAGAACAGCCTGCTGAAGTCTCCTTTGAGTACTTTGCCTGCTTAGCTGACACTGATTGTAAACCCAATGACTTATCCAACCTGTATGCTAAAGTTGCTACCTAATAGTAGCAAAAGTCAAATCAGTTTGATATCACCTCTTGGTTTCTCGACTGCTTTTAAGAAGCCTTGAATTCCTCAGAACCAGTGTGTCAGGTCGGTTGTCTGGATTCCACAGTGACCATTCATAAGAGCAGTCGAACGCCATGCCCCCGTTTGAGTGAAAACAGGTCCTGAGACTGTATCGGTGGTAGATTAGAAAACACTGGTAGCCGTGCGATTAAACGCGATTGCGTAGCTTTTTGTACTTCAAACTAGAGCTCTGTGTGTTTGGACTGAAACTAGAGGATTAAAGTGGTAAATTGTGGGACCGCTGTCATGTTCCTGCTGGCTTTAAGGCAGCGATCGCTCCGTGACAGAAGAGAAGTCTGTTAACAGATTCTTCACACATTCACCAACGTATTAACGTTTCAACTGTCACGTCACATAATAGTTAGTGAAAATTTCTCTAAACGAAGGAACACTACACCAAATCCTCTTACTGAAAAATAAATTTCAAAATAAAAAGTTGGCTAGCTCAATATAACACCTTGTCTCACCCCACTCATCATTATTTACACTCACGTATGAATGCAATAGGATTAAATATCATCCAGGTGAGTTTACATATGTTATTCTTCTCTAAATCAGCTGATAACTGTTTATGTCAATGTCTGTAACCACTCCTATGAACACTGTTAGAAACTATTACAAATAAATATTATTTAAAAATAAAGATCCCTCTCAGGTAACACTGTTAATAATTACCTTAATTTTTCACAAAATCCTTATAGCAACAGATTGGTGCCTGGAACCAAGACGATCTGCTACCCCAACACTCGTGACTATAGTACATTTAATTTGGCACCAAAACGGGAAAAAAAAAAGGCAAAGGTACAAGACTGTGTACATCATTTTCGTCCGGAGTCAAGGAACTACCCATCCCACAATCCGTTGTGGGAAACATTGCCATGGTAACAGCAAGCTCAACCAATCAGAGACATCTCTGTGGCACTCTTTGATCGTGGGTAGTGTAGTTCTTTGCCCCTATATCGTGAATAAATCTAGTTTGTCTGAAAAGGAGGTTGATATCATACATGTGTCTCCTACAGGAACATACACATTCAGGTAGCTCGTGGTCAGTCCACCTGTGATGGTTATGACATTATGGTTAGTAATCAAATCCGCCATGGAGAAAATGAATGGGATCTTTACTTCCGGAACCAAACTGTTCAGCCCTATACAGAAGGAAAACACACTAATGGCCCAGTGTGTGAGGATCAGACCAATGACAAACAGTCTTTTCTCTAAATGGTCTTTGAACTCACCATTTGAAGATTTACTAAACTCTCCTGACCATACATTTCAATCCAGTGAAAGATTTAATCCAAACACATCAATAACAATCCACAGAACTGCTTTTCCACAACACCTCATTACAGGCTGTAACAGCAAATGACAACCTTTGTTGAAATGAGGTGCCTACCCCTGTTCTGCTGTCCAATTGCACGTGTGACGTGATTTCTTCATGCACACAATAAGGAGATTGATTTAATGTACAACAATATATTCAATTCAAAGCTTTATTGTTAGTTGTACATACAGAAGTAGTGTTTCTCTTCAGGATCCAATAGAAAGAAATAAGACACAATTCAAATACACACACACACAAAGCTCCTTAAATGCAATAGTCTTTTAGAAGATCTTTTCCACAGAACATCTGTGTCCTTTACATTTACAGTTATGAAGGGTAAAGATAGACCTGTCTCCGTGGGGATTCTAGATAACTGTTTCTATAGATAAGAGACGTCGTCATGATAAAGCAACTTTTCTGGCTCTGTTCAATGTCTCTCCATATCTGCCTAGCTTGGAGCATCTGAGCATGTAGCTGCTGACGGATGTTTTTTCCCAGGCTGTGTCCATTATTTGCTGTGATAAAAATGGAAAGCTGCTGTGAGCTGACTCTGTTTCTGCTTAGGGACCTCCATTGAGAACTGTGTAATTCACTTCCTCAACTGGCAAGTACACACCTCATTCATGCAAACTAACAACAGGGCATCTGCTAAAAGTCTACATTTCTTGTTGTCTCCCAGTCCATCTCCTCAGCTTAGAAAACAATTGCTGGCACTGGCCATTGTTTTGTCAAATGAGGTAGTTAGTAGGAATAAAAGGGACAAAGGTTTATTTTTTTTTAGCACAAGAGGCTGATGGTCTTGTCCATTTCCGCTGATGAGCAAAATGTTACTCTTCAGACATGCTGGTGCCTCTGCAGCCTGCTGAAGCAGCAGTGGGCATTTTTCCATGAGGAATGAATTAACTTAGATTCTCAAGGGTACTTACCTTTCCAGCCGAACCTCCTCCAAAAGGGCACAACATGAAGGGGGCAAATTGAGGCCAAGCTGCAGCTCATCAGGTGGCTTACATATATGAAGATAGTTTTGTTTCTGGTTTGAAGTAAACCAGCATTGATATATGGTCCCCTGAGAGAAGCAGAGAAAAAAAAAAAAAAAATTAAAAAAAGTAGCAGCTGAGGTTCTCAACCCAGCTTTAAACTCAATTAAAATATTTTTTAGCCAGAAAAAATAATGAACAATGTGAGAAATGTAAACCATACAACAGACGATGAAACCAGACAGAAAACAGTCTTTATCTGAAAGTCTTTTTAATACAAAGAGTTAAATAGTTGCAAAAGAAAATAAAGTCAGGCATGTAGAATGTCATGAAAAATCTTTTTTGCCAATTTAAAATAATTCTCAAATAATAAAATATCCTCAAGCTTAAAATGCACCACTGCTTTTGTAACATGAGCTTACTAAAGAACAAATGTTTCAGTTTGATCCTGTGGTGGTCTCATTGTCTTTAAGCTCCCAGTTTGAATGTGGTTAGTTAGTTTTTAAATCCCATTCCTCTTTTTGTTCTGGCATCACTTAAACCTGTAGGCATTCCCCCCCTTCTCTCTGTCATGGTTGAAATATAAATAGTCAACCCCCTCAGACCTCTGAGTGCTCTACATTCCTTAGCATACACATCTGAGCATTAAAGGAGTGATGACAGGCTGAAGAAAAATAGATCCTCAATTGGTTTTTCTTGCGTTTTGGATCTTAAATGTGTGTTTTCTCCCAGGTAGCATGGTAATGACAAAAGCAGCTGTCAGGAAACTGTCTTCCTTACCCACTTTACTTCAGAGGCAGTTGGAAGAGTTAGTTTGACCTCTGTGACCTGTGGCTGAAAGGAGGGAGGAAAAGAGAAAAAAGGGATGTTTTTCTCTAAGCCACCTGTTTATCATTTGATCTTACAGCCCTGTTGTGTTTGCTGTCATAGTCCATATTTGCACAGCGAGTGTTAAGCCCTTTCTACCTCTCCTCAAGAAGGCACAATGTTAAAAAGCACTTTCTTACTTTAGCATTGTTCCACTTGGGATGTAGGAGCAGTATGCAGTAAATAGATTCAGATTATTGTGATATAGTCTAGTTTGTTATTTGATTTCCTCCTGTGTGTGCTGCTGTACAGTATTGTTAACACAGTGAGGCTTGTGTTCTCATGTTTGGTTGACAGTCAGTAGAAAGTGTCCAGATAAGCTGGTAGGTTGCAAAAACAACCCTGTGCTGTGTTTGCTGATCTTAGTGAAGAAAAACCTGTTTAGCAGGAAACCATGACTTCACTTGGAGGTTCCACATTTTCAGAAAGTTACATTTCTTATAAGTAACATGTAGCATATAGTTGTGCTGTTGAAATGAATCATTACAATGCAGACTGGACGATTAATGCAACGATGCAGGGACAGGACATAACTAATGCTGACAAGGGTTCGGGCAGATGAACGCTGACAAACACTTGAAGGAATCTTGGTGTTCATGTGTTACTTTTAATGGCAGCTGTCCTGTTCTATCGGAAAGGTATCTTTAAGTGATTTCTTTCCCTGAATTCTGACTCAATGCACTACCCCATCTCTACAATAAAAAAAAGGCACAAAATAATCTCTCCCAGTAAAAGACACAAAATGAACCAAAATGTCAATTCTGTGTTTTCTGTAAAATCTCAGTAAGACTCGTTGTGCCTAGTCCTGTCCAAAAAAAAAAAAAAAAACCCAATCGTACTGGATAGACATATATCAAGATATGGACAAAATTCTGGATGTGACTTTGTATGAATCCTGTCTCTTTGCGCGATCTCTGCTGTCCTCCACTGCTCATCCTGTCCTCTACTCCTATGTCTCTGCTGTCCTGTACTCTTCGGTTTCTGTTGTCCTTCAATCCGTTCTGCTCTTCTCTGCTGTCTAATAATCAATAGGTCTGCAATGTCAAATGTTAATGCTCTACTCTGTAAGTCTCAATCATAATCTTGATAACAACAAGAGTTATTTATCATGGTACAGATGTATCTCCTCCTGTGCTGGGAGCACCCTGTGTCTTCTGTTCCATGCCAAAAAGCCTCTGATTTTAATTGGATAACTTCTGGCATAGGCATACCTGTAACTGTGAGAGGAAAACTCTTTGGAGGACTGTAGGTGATCCCTTAGTCACACATACCTGTTGGCTATAAGGCTGTGACTTGATTGGTACTGAGTTCAAGGAGATTTCATCATCTTTCTTTACATGCTTAAGAAACAGCATCACACATATTTCATGTTTGTACCACATTCAGTGGTTTTAAAATCTGATAGGAAATGTCACCCCTCCCCAGCCTACAACTTTAACTCTCAGAATGGCATTCCCCTGCAGGCTCCCATTGTGTATAAGGAAGATAACTGTAACTCATGTGTTATTTACTTATAGACAATGAATTATTTGGCAACTGTAAGGTATTTGTGGAAAAGAAGGTAATCTGAGCTCAAACAACAGTAACTGAGGAAGGAAGACTTTCTAAATATGCGTGTCCTCCCGTCTTAACGTCCCTGCCTACAAGCCTGGTATGTATGGCCAGGATGATTTGTAGCACAGGTCATGGGTATGGTCCCCTCTCCTGCCTGAATGTAGCAACCAGTCAAGGCCACATTCCACCTGGCATTCCTGCACATCTCTAACTCTTGAAATCTCACATTACCAGATCCCTTCTGTATCCTCACTCTATTTTACTGAGGATTCTGATCCTGTTGACAATGTGTTGTTTTTCAGTTCAATAATACCTCTTCAAATGCCTTAAACTACACAGCCAAGCATACATTTTACATTTCAGCACTTTTATTTGGCCTCCATCATCCCCTCACACATACAATCACATTGTAAGGGCCATCACACGCTTTGCAACCTCAATAGACCAGGACATCACACATCCACTGAACACTCACCTCGCCCACTCAGGACAGAGGTACAGAGCACCGAGGTGCAGAAAGGCTCACCTGGGGAGGAGCCTGATCCCTGCTGGTATAGCGGCCCTGAACAAAAGGCCAGAGTGGGAACTTTTGATTGTTGTCCAACTCTAAATGCGTTACACTCTGTGTATGCATGTTCTTTGGTGGACATTGTCTGTGTTGACAGTAACAGTGCTGTGGAAAAGACTTTCCCCATGGGGACAATAAAAACTAATTTATTATTGATTGAACTGGAGATGAACAGGAGGCTGGAAAGATTCAGGCAGGGTGTAAACATAGCTTCATGGAGCTGCAGGTGTTAAGCTCTCCGTAAACAACTCAATGACGAGTCACAGACGACGTACAGATGAAGGTATCAGAGTCTGTGTGTGATGGATAAATATGTATTCTTGTTGCTAGTAAGACCTACACTTATGTGAGAGTTACTGTAGCTGTCATAAAGCAGTTGTTGCTGTAATCTGGCTCCCTGTGTGCATGTTAACAAGGCTGAAGAAGTTCTGTTTCTGTGTATTTTCTAAATAAGTGTATTCAGTTGGGTAGATGCAGAAAGTTCAAACAGATCACATCTTTTTTTCTCATCACTTCTCAATTGGCTGTGTTACATAATTCAATTAATAATCTACCAAAAAACAACATGTAACAAATATGTTCCTATGTCAAAATTGCTCCTTCAGTAGATTTTGCAGCCAATTCATTCTGTTTTTAAAATAATGATTCAAACTGTAAAAAGTATTTCAGGCATTAGTGCTCAATTCATTTTGACAGCTTCCTTCATTATCAGAGACAGGAATTAGGTGATCACTTAAAACTATCACATGATCAAAAAAAAAAAAAAAAAAAAAAAAAAAAAAAAAAAAAAAAGAGTCCTGCTGTTTACTTAGATTTTCTCTGCAAGACATACAACTCTTCCTTTGCATAAAGCTAGCTAAATTCGATGCATTCAGCATGAGATATTATCCAAATACAAAAGTGTCAAATAGAGGCAGAGCATGCAGTTTATGAAACATGATGCTTAGCCTGTTTTCTGACATGCAGAGCAGGTTTGAAGTTTCTCATTTAAAAACCTCAGTGAGATTTCAGTAATATATCAATCTTACTCTATAAGCAACACATTAGTTCAATGGGGCCAGGTGAATAGGTGCCTGATTGCTCACAATATTTGAATTTAACAAAAATGACTGATTTAGTCAAGAAAGGTGTTCATCAAAGTCTGATTTGGGTTGACTAGACACTTTTATTAGACATCTCTTATGCAGCCTCTGTAACTACCTTCCATGACTGCTCCACCATCACATCTCTGTAACATTTATATTGATGCCAAGGCATAACAGTCTTGTATAGACAATGTAAAAGGGACTAAGGTATGACTAAACGGTCATAGCCTATTCTTAAGATAAGATACAAAGCAGTCTCCTATCTTAAGTATCTTCCATTATCTTCGCTTGTGAAATAGAGGCTGTGTGTCCTGTGCTAATGTGGCCTGTCCATCATGATCCAAAATACTCTGATGTGTCACTGATAATGATTCTTCTGGACCTCCTCCACTTCATCCTGTGGACATTGTCAACCCACCAACCTCAGTTGGGATCAGGCCTGCCTGACTGCAGAGTGCACTTCATCTTCTACAGAGCAGACTGATAAGTAGTGTAAAGCTCAGGTTAGCTTTGCCTCATGGTCTCCACTCATTCACATCTTATCACCTTTTTTCTGCCTTAAACACTTCAAAAGTGGGGGAGATGTGTGTGAACGTTCATGGTTATTTTTACGTGCGTAAGTGAGACTCTAGGGCATTCCTCAGATATTTGTGAACCTATGCATCATTCAACTATTTGTCTTCTAATCTTGTATCAACAATGTATTTACTGTCTGTATTAAGGTGATCTTATAATAATCTTGTCCAATACAGAAGGCACAAACACTGACGGCCCAGTGTGTGCAGGTCACACCACTGACAAACAGCTTGTTTTCATTTGACCATTTCAAGATTTTCTTTCCTCTCCTGATCATAATATTCCGCCAAAAATCAACAGAACTGTTAAAACCATCATTACTGTTTTCTTCATGTTCACACCAAGAGATGGATTTAAGCGGTTTTCAGAACTGCTTTTAAAGTATTCATAAACTGATATGCATAACAAGATAGTTCATCAGGCATGAATTATTTTGAGAAAAAAATAAAATCAAAAATCATGTAAAATTAGACATTAAACAACCCCATATAGCTGGCATGGAGAAGACTAACAGTCGACTAAGGCTCTGACAAACCAATCATCAATAGTCGACTAAATGTAGGGTCACCCCTAGTTTCATCCTTGAAGTTTTTTTAATTTAAGCTTCTTCCAGTTAAATCCTTACTATCCTACGCCTATTTTTAAGTTTCTCAGTATTCATTATGTTGGTGGAATTACTTTAAACTGTCTGAGATTGAAATAAGCACTCAGAGGAAAGATGGCACATTAATTTTGTTTAAAGAAAAGTGGATCAATGTTTAATCCAAACCAATAGGTATGATGTATTTCTATAACTTGTCAAATAATAAAAAATGATGGTGCATTCGTATGTCAGTGTAACTTAATTAACATAGATCAATTTATTTTTTTCACATTTATTTTCATTCTGTTGTATTTTTTAAGGAAGCAGCTGCTCCAGTCGTCAATGACTTTTCTTACAAGCAGCATAATAACACATTGGACACAAACTGCTGTAAACTCAGGAGTTTACGGTTTACCTTCTGATTGTCACTAAACCTCTACCATCAATGTGTTAGTGTGTAGGTGTGACCTGCAGTGTAAAAACACCATTACCAAATAGATAGTTACATCAAAGAGTTCTTAGAAAGTGAGAAGACTTAACAGGTTGCACTTGGTTTTAAAACAAATTGATAATGATAAACTACAACAGTTATATGATAAATACATTAATATATTTGATTATAAAACAAAATATAGAGGGTACTTACCTCTCTGTCACATTCAGGGAAAACAACAAGGAACTGGACCCATGTGCAAAATGAAACTGAAGATATTTAAAAAACAAAAAGGCCAAAGGCAAAACAATAACTTACTTTCAAAAGCCAAAAACTAGAAGTCAAAAAGCACAGGAAGAATACTTGAAACACAGGGAGGCAGCAGTCTGGCATAGGACATGAGAAACAACAATGAGCTGACAACACTGAGACTAAATACACACAGGGGTAATCAAACACAGGTGAGACTAATAACACAGGTGAGGACACTCAGGGCAATCAAGACAGGAGAGAAACACACAGAGGCAGGGAGAAAATACATTAGAACCCAGAGAGACACAAGGAGAAGAAATGACAAAAGAACCCAGGAAACACTAAAGACTACACTAGGAAACATTAACACAAGGGAAACAAGCAACACTGAAAATATACAAAATACAACCAAACAGACACTCTTGAGCTCCACTTCCAAATCTACCACAGCTCTTTACTCGGGTCGTCTCTTGATCAGAATATCTGGGTTGGAAACAGTGTCAGTAAGTGCAAACGAACAGTTTAAGTCCGATCAGACACTGATGGGCAGCTGAGGTAGACCACTTTAAAATAAATAAATAATTAAAGTTAATGTATTGTCATCAACATCAACAGCTGTTCTTGAAAGTTCTAATAAGCATTAAAACCATCCTAATGCTGACAGCCTGAGTAAAATGACTTTCCCAGTTTAGAACAAAGCTTCCTCTCTGAGGGGAGCAGGCAAGGGAAATCTTGAGAGAGAAAAAGCACTTGCATCCTTGTGCGTAACAGTTTCAAAACCTCTCCATATGTGGATGAGGTGTTGAGTCTGATGACTCATCTATGATTTAAGCCCTGATTATATGTATGTGACATCTCTTATAAATACTGTGCAACAGTAACTATCAGCTGAACGCACACTTGAGTTAGCAGAGAGAGAGAGAGAGAGAGAGAGAGATGGCAATTTAATACATAGTAACTGCTAGCGGCAGTTAGCACTGGTCTTTGTGGATGATATGGTATATGCAATATGCCTTTTTTGCATAGGAAGGGGGCACTTTTGCTCTGAATTTTTCTATATCCCATAATTTACATAGATGCAAATGAGACAGGCACACCTCGTACGTTGTCTGCTTGAAAGTGCATTTCACCCTTTGCACATGCTTTTTGGATTCAACACTATCTTTTTCTCTAATTCTCACATGATTTAGCACCCACAAAAGCAGCGCAATCCTTTTTTGGATCTGGCCCTTAGTTGTCTAAAAACTCTATGTTATGACAAGAGGAAACATACAGCTTCTATAGGCTTCTTTAATCAAAACATAGAAATAGTTGCTCTGGTGTAGTGAAACATGACTGCTGCGATATGATATAGGAAGATCACATCATCATAGTTTTTAGACTTTCTAACAACGCTGTTCACTCAATAAAATAAAGGTGAAAATGACATTAAGGGCAGACAGATATCAAAAAACAGGCCATTTGAAGATTTCCTCTTTGTGACATCACAAAGGGCAGTAGCCCCTCCCCCAGGTGGGTGACACTCCCACAGCTAGGTGTTTGTTCTGCCCTCTGTGTCTGACTTCTCACCGTAAGCAATAGGACATGGAGCGAGAAAGACCGAGTACACCCAAGCCCTTCCAGAGAGGGGGCGTGGTCAGACACAGCTCATTTACATATTTAAAGCTACAGACATGGAAACAGCCTGTTCTGAGCTGAAACTGAGCGTTATAAGCATGTCATACAAATACAGGATTGAAATGAATTTTTAACAATACTTTTTTTGGGGTACTCTGAGACTTATTCCTGTGACCTCCAAAGATACAGTATATCAGTGTATTTTGACTCCAAAACCCTTTTCACACATGCAGAAATCTCCTGAAAAACTCCAGAAATTTGGCTACCCTGAGGTTTTTAGGCTAGGTGTGAACTCAAACAGCCACATTTTTTGCGGACTTTACCCGGAGTTTATCCGGCCAGACCCCTAGTATTTTTTCCGTAGAATATCCAAGTGAGCTGATGTCTGAACGTGGCCAAATATACTCCGGAGATTTTCAATTCGAGCCAATGGAAAGAGAATGACGTTTATATAGTGACCGGCTAAAGTGTCTGCACGCAACCACTACGATCTCAGTGCTCTAATTGAACGTCTGCATTATGTTTTCTGTTCGTCAGTATGTTGTTCTCCTCTCTTTTTTGGATGTTTCATTCCATTGGATTACACATAGCATTGATATAAAGACAAATATTCTCATTATAACATCGTGTAGCGGACTCTGTTGCTTCGGCCGCTACTTCCGCGAATCATAGCAGCATATTTTAGGGAAGCCCAGAGCGTGTATCTTCCCCTTTATCTACCCTGATTTGGCACTCAGGACAAAGCTGTTGTTTCACTTTTTAGATTCAAACTGTCTGTTGCCTTTTTGTCTTGCAGTGTTGGCTACTGAAAATGTGACTGCTTTGTATGGAGAGACCATTGTAATACCATGCAACGGTCGCACTCCAGCACCAAAGGATCTGATGTTCATCAAGTGGAAATATGTAAGTAGATATTGATAAAGTGCTCAGCACAGAGAACCCATGTGTTAATGCTACCACAATGTCTGGTAATGCTTCCTTTAACAACTTAAATGCTTCTTCCAAAGCTGTAAATACTTACACACATAAGTGCGAATTTCATAAAATTTCAGAAGTTTGCTGAATATTCAAAGCATTGAAGTCAAAAAATAGTAGATAGAGTCAGAAATCTGCTGCAAAGTAAGTGGGGAATGACATGCAGCAAAGGAGCCACAGGTCGGAGCATGGGGCGTATGCATCGCCCCCTACTGGCACCCCATTTTAATTTTTTCCTATGTCATGTCAGTAAGAAAAGATTCTCATAATTCAGGGTGTAATTTCACCATATCAAAAAGATAACTGATGTCATGCAGACTATGCTAATATTTGAAGAAACAGTACATATTTGGTTAATGGTCATACTGTACAACTTGAATCTTGTCACATTATATTTGCTAAGCTCTTTATAAACTGTGCCCTATATTGTAATTTATTAGTTCCTCTTTCTGTTTGAGAAAACCCACCCATCCAACCCCTATAATGACAATTTCACCAATAAGACACAACAATGAAAAACAATACTAATAAAGAAAGAAATAATAACATCAATAATAATAGAGTAAAAATAATACTAACACTTAAAATAAAAATAAATAAATAAAATAACAATAATATTAGTTCAATTCTTTTCTCCTAAAAGAAAACTTTTATTATGATTCAGGAATGCTGAAATAAAGTTTATGAAAGTTTTTATATGTTACCTCTGTTTCTTGTTTCAGGAAAAAGATGACGGCACTCTCGGTGATTTGTTGATCAAACAGGTTCGCAGCGAGCAAGCAATAATTCAGGCCACAGACAGTTACGCTCAGCGGGTCAGCACTGATGACAAGTTCAACCTGCTGATCAGTCAGGCCACACTCAAAGACCAGAAGACCTTCACCTGCATGGTGGTGTCAGACACCAATCTTATGGAGTACCCCACCTCGGTTGTTGTTTACAGTAAGCTCAATATAAACTTTTACTTTAACAAATGTTTTTCACAAAGTCCAAATTCCAATACCAAAACAGAAAATTCCCCAATTGTACATATTCTCTGTCTGAAAATTGATCAAAACAAAACAAGTATAATTTCTGTACAATTACGTCAATGTCTTTGGTGATGGCATTCAAATTTGCTCTACATTTATTTTTAAAAACATATACTTATACTAATATAAATGGGTGAGATTTGGATGGGTTGTATATAATGGCACTGACTCTCTGTTATTGTATTGATTTATGTTGTTTCCAGAGGTGTAGTGGTGCCTAAAGAAGTGGGTATACTCTAATACTTTCCCCTAAATGTTTTTCTTTAAGTGACCCGTCCAACATACGGCACAAACGGCCTCTGTTATGAACAGGGACATTAAAGACTACTTTTGCATATTTTGTTAGTGTGTACAAGCCAATTAGAGATGGATTAGGAAAAGTCATCCCTTCACCATCCTACCAAAAAAACTCAGTACACTGCTGAATATTGTCAATCAAATCAGTTGGTGTGAATTGGAGGGGATTTAGAAGTGGGTATACCCTATGGAGACTGAAAAAGAAGTATACTCCGTATATCTGCATATACCGTACGCTACACCACTGCTTGTTTCTTTCTGTCAAACACTAAGAAACACTGAGAATGTGAATGTAACACGCATTACTAAACCCAGCATGACAGAAAATAGCTAAACAAAAGTTAAATAAAGTAAATAAAAATGATGTCCCATAGCTTGAATATAAACAATGCAATGGGTTTGCAGTCAAGCTTTAGGTTTACTTTAATTTAATTTATGTTGTCTGCAAAACATTTAATTTAAACCGAGTTTGTTGTTATTGTACCCCAAACATTTCAGTGACATTTAGGAATGATTGACAGAATGAAAATTCTACAACCTTAATCTCTACAACCTTAATCTCTACAACCTTAATCTCTATAACCTTAATCTCTACAATTTTACAACCTTAATGTCTACAGCCTTAATCTATACAACCTTAATCTCTACAACCTTAATCTCTACAACCTTAATGTCTACAGCCTTAATCTCTACAACCTTAGTCTCTACAACCTTAATCTCTACAACCTTAAAACTCAAAACAGCATGCAATGAGAGCTGGCGCCAGCGACAAAATCAGCTAGATTTAATTGTTCAATATTTAAGTATAGTTACAGCCAGCAAGTTAGTTGTTTTTACCCTGACGCCGTGTGACATGGATGAGGTACGAGGACGACGTAGGCTCTACAAGGCACTGGCACACTTTGATAACTCAACAAAGCTTGTCAGCCACTTTCAAAAAGTGGAGATTGTGGTGCATCAATAAAATCCATATCTGTGTTGAAATATTGTGCTTTACCTTATACCTTATAATAACTAATGGATGAGCCTTTGACTGTTGTGATTTGAGTCAATACAAAGAACAACACCTCTGTTCTCTACAACCTTAATCTATACAACTTTAATCTCTACAACCTTAATCTATACAACCTTAATCTCTACAACCTTAATCTATACAACCTTAATGTCTACAGCCTTAATCTCTACAACCTTCATCTATACAACCTTAATCTATACATCCTTAATCTATACAACCTTAATGTCTACAGCTTTAATCTATACAACCTTAATCTCTACCACCTTAATCTCTCCTTGTGTGTTTAAAGAGAAACCATCTTCAGTGCAGATTATGGACAAGCCTGAGGTACTGGAGAAGGACAAACCTGTGATGGTAAGAATCAAAACAGCATGCAATGAGAGCTAGCACCAGCGACAAAATCAGCTAGATTTAATTGTTCAATATTTAAGTATAGTTACAGCCAGCGAGTTAGTTGTTTTTACCCTGACGCCGTGTGACATGGATGAGG